AAACTGGAAGTTTCTCAGTGATTTAAGTAAAGGGATTTGACTTTTCTTTTCTTTAATGTAAAATAATTTCATTTTTTTAGCATTTGATTACCTATGTTAACACTAGAGAGAGATCTAACTAATTCTATATAATATATTACATGAAAAAACTACATTGAAAACATTAAGGTTGCAAAGTCAAGCATTCAAAAATTAGGATTGCCTAAGGTTGCCCATCCAACCTTAATTCAGTCTCCTTGTGCATATGCATTATGATACAGTCTTTAATTACATGTTCACATACGTTTTTTCCACAGGACCCCTGCCTCATTCAGTACAGGATGGACAGTGCTCACTTAATTAGCAGCTCTTCAATATTTTATCTTCATTGCTCAATGTGTAGCCCCAGATCTTATTTACTGCACACTATTCAAACTCTGCTCTGAGATGTAATGATTAATTTCCTCATGGGGTTTTTTTTATGGTGCTCATCACTAACTATGTGTGCTGCCCAACCCCAAAACACCAACATACCCCTATACTCTGTATGTTACCCCCAATGACCAATAACTGACGCTTCAAATTTTCTGTATCGTTTATTTTTTTAAATATTCTCTAATAAAATTTAAATCTGAGACCTTCACAAACACTGATTAATTAATCTTCACATCATCCCTCTGAGAGTGGGCTGGTGGGTGAGTATATCCCCATTTTACAGTTGCAGAATAGAGGCATAAATTAGGTTAAAAAGTATCCATTAATGTTGAATGCACAATTTGAGGCTTGGGAGCTGATTTTTCAGAGTACTTAGCATTAAAGAGCACTTTCTGTGTTCAAGATACAGCTCCCAGTGACTTCAAGTGCAGCTGTAAGTGCTGAGAACTTCTGCAAACGCTAGGGTCTCAAGTTGGACACCTAGAAAAGTAGGAACACACAACTAGTGAAAAGTTTGGTTTGGGACAGGAACTCTGTTGCAGAGGCAGGTATAGAATTCAGTTCTTCAGGGCAATATTAATCTCCCTTAACCCTGAGACCATTCTTTCTCTTCCTGCAATCCTTTGCTTTGTTCACCACACACCTTACAACTTCTGCAAAAAATTAAACAAGGGGTCCTACAGACAACAGCCTCCTTCACTACATAATCCTGATTCATCCTCAGTGTACAAACCATTTTCTGCACTGAATGTGGCAGGGGGCCTATAGAAAAAACAGTATGTGATCGTGCAATTTAAAACTGTATCATAATGCATATACTTAAGGAGACTGAATTAAAGTTGCAAGGCAGCCACCGGGATATACACTTTGGCAGTGGGTTTTACAGATATTTTTTGACGGCAGAGGAATGGTGAAACTCAGAAGTCTTGCTCACCATTCCAGGTTCTGGAGCGGAGTGTGCTCTAATGGGCACAGATGCTTCTGCCCCATCCCTCCAGCCTGTGCCAGTCCAGGCTCTCCCCAAAGCACCAGTCCCACATTCCAGTCTATCCCTCTGCCCCCTACTTACTCATTGTCCCAGTCTCTGCCCTCCTCAGCTCTTCATTGCATTTCCAGTCTCCTCACCCAGCCAGTCCTAGTTTCCCTGCCCTCCCCTCCCATGTTTCTCATCCGGTCTCAGTCATCCCACACACAGTGGCTCCTACTCCTCTCACCTTCTCCTGTTTCCATCCCTATGCTCTCATGCCCAGTCTCCTTGTCTAACAAGTCCTAGTCTCTCTCCAAGCCAACTCTCAGTTCCACTCTGACCTCCCCACAGGCTCCTTGTCCCAAGCTACTCACTCTACTTCCACCACCCCACGTCCAGCTCGTTTGCTCTGCATTCGAGTCAACCAACTTCCTCCTCCATGCTGCCTGGGAACTGGCATGAGGAGGACTGAGAATACAGGACAGGCAGTCTCCCTAGTCTCAGTTCCTGTGCCCAGGGCCACAGTGGCCCTCAGCATCCAGAAGGAGCAATTGCAGGGAAAGTCCTGCTCAAACTCGGCATTCCTGGGATGGAGTTTGCTCAGTACAGATGGAATATTTGGACAATTTAGCTGCTAAATTCCAAGGTCTCTACTGAACATGTGTGAACTGAGACTTTTCAAAGGCTCATAACTTGGCCAAATTTGGGTAGTTTTTCACAAAAATGGCAAAAGGCACATCCCTGACACCAGGGCAATCCCCCTGCCAGTTTCAAATTCCAGCTCCAAAGCATGGAGTTGTTAGAGCTTCTCAGTGAAACAGCTGTGAAAAATTCTTAAATGCAAGCAAAACAACGTATTTTTTTCCCCTAATTTTGTTCTCAAAAATGGCAGAGCCATTTCTGCTGGAACTTTGCCAAAAAAATTCAGCCTGAGGAAGACAGCTGGCATGGAAACTTGCAGACTAAATGGTATGTGCTTGGCAAAGCTATAAGCAACTAAAAAGAGAATCTCATAATGAGAAATGTCGGACAACCTTAACTGTAGGTGGCACCATGAGCTCCGCCTATAATTAATACCTCCTGTGACAGGACTGTCTGTTGCTCAGGATGAGGGCAGCCAGTGCAACAATGCATTGGCTACATACCACAAAGTAGCCAGTCTGCACAACATTAAGAGGCCCCATTCAAGTCCAAGGCCTTTGATGATGTGAAACAAACCATATAATAAGTTTCAGAGTAACAGCCGTGTTAGTCTGTATCCGCAAAAAGAAGAACAGGAGTACTTGTGGCACCTTAGAGACTAACAAATTTATTAGAGCATAAGCTTTCGTGGACTACAGCCCACTTCTTCGTATGCATCCGAAGAAGTGG